AAAAAAAAAAAAGAACCTACTTTTACATTTCAGAAAGGACCATTCAGCTCACAGATCAACATTTAAGGCGCTGTCTGCAATGGCTGTTTGCATTATCTGTATCACTATTTCACCATCCCTGGGAATATCTGCTTTTACAGTCACCACAAAACTTGATTGCAGAATGCCTCAGGCCTTATATGCGATCCCTTAACCCCACTGGTTCATGCAAATAGCTTTAGCTTCCCACCCAGTCAGATCCGAGGTAAGATGGGACAGAGAAAACATCAGGAAAGGGACACTTTTGAGAAAATAATGAATATCTCAGTTATAGGAATGACTAACCAATAAGAAAAAAATGAATGTGGACAAAAAGGGCCACACTTTGCTTTAAAAATAGGTTTTTCTTTTAAATCTCTCCCTATTAGATACAAAGTTCTGTCAGGTTTCCATGGTATTAATTTTATGTTTAGCAGTTTAGAGAATGCATTGGGGAAAATGGGCTTAAAACATTAAATTACTTTCACAAGACATATGCTTCTTACGCAATTAACAATACATAAAGCATCAATAAGCTCTAATTTTAGAAACATTCATCCACAAACATTAATCATTAATGCTAAATTCAATTTCTGCATGGCTTCTTCTTTTCACAAGCAACTCTCCAAGGCTATACTACGTGACATCTCAAAAATATTAATTTACTTCTGGGAGCAGATTACATTCCTAGAAAACAATCTGTGCAATAAATATATATACATTATAAGCCAAATGGAACTTTTATGGAAAAAAACAAAAATTTTCTTCACGATATATGTAAATCAAGCCATCATGCTATAAGCATTAAACTTATACAGTGACATACATCAATTATTTTTCAATAAAACTGAAAAAAAGAAAACAATTCTCTTAGGGAAGACTGCATTTCTGACCAGGCATCTGACCCTACACCTTTCAGAGAAATGCATACAAGCCTTTGTGTAATCTAATCACAAATAATATTTCAGTATCAGTCAAAGCTTATCAAATTGCATATACAGAAAAACACATGAAGTTAAAATACAGTGCCTACAGGGAATTCAGAGGCCCGTCATGGCTTTTTCAAGGGGATCACTGCTGAGCAGGACAAATTGTCACTGTACAGACCATCTCATGTATTATAGGTTTGTGCCGGGGGCACTCCACTGGGCATGGTGACACCAAAGGAACACACTCACACATTTTCATCCCTCCCAGGGGGGAATTACTGCTCCCTTGTTTAGAGAAGACATTTTAGCCTGGATTAAAAGAAATTGCCCATATTTATGTCACTAGAAAATATCAGTGCCAGGTCTCAAACCCCAATCTCCAGGAAGCCAGTGCCACCAGCCGGGATCCAACGGAAAATGTGAGTAACCGACACTTATATTCTAATTTCAGCCTTGCTCTTCCTGCGTTAGACAACTCATCCATCCAAGATTTTCTAAGCTGAGACCGAGTCATCCCTTTAACCACTCGTCAGTTCCCTTGTCCCATTTATTCGTACCCTGCTCCCTCTCAATCTTGGATAGGTGTACCACACCCTGGCTGAATCTGGGCTCCTCTCCCTGAGGACAGTCGACAGGTGTCAGCACAGATCCAGGAACCGCAGTGAGGCAGCCCTGAAGGGCAGGCCTTCCATGTCACTGTCCCTATGCTCCCTTCATTCACACCTGGTCCTTCTGGTACCTGCACTGCCTGATCCACAGGTGACATCTTCTAGTCTCCTTCTGCCCCGCCCAGAAAGGGACCTATCTTGGTAGCTTGAGTATCACTTGTCTGTGCTTAACTGAGAGAAGGAATCCCCCTTCCGTCCCCACCTTGCCCATTCTTCCATTTCTGTTTACCTTATTGTATCTCCAGCATTACGCTGAGCAGAAGTAATACCACCGAGGGTAATGCTTACAAGAAGCAGGGTACCTCTAAGGGTTTCAACCAAGGTTGGAATTGTGCAGGTTTTGGGGAGATAGTTCATTTCTTTCCCTTGTTAGTTAAGTCTAAGAGTTTGTATCATAATTAAATGTTAATCCATATGAAATATGTTTCCAGTATTTTTTGTATTTTTAAAATGCCGTCATATGAAAAGTACTTGAAGTTTAAAAAAAAACAAAACCAAAAAACTTGTATTTCAGTGCCCCTGATTAATTTCTTTTAATTTTTACTTTACAGAGTGATGAAAGCCAAACCTCTGGGGCCACTCATCTTAAGGGCCACTCACCTCCATACCTGTAAGTTTGAAATTCAAGTTCAAGTAGGAGATCCACAATAGCCGGAAGGGGCAGCGTGCTTACCCGGATGTAGGCGTCCTGGTGGTGCTTGGCAAAGTACAGCATGTTGTCCAGGGCCAGCATCCCGGGAGGGGTCTGCGTGAAGTCCATGGCGGGATTGACGTGATTCTGTGATTAAAACAAAATGTTTGATCAGGTTAACTCCTCAGCAGACTTCACCATCCAGTAGACGTCTGGTTTCCCTCCTCAGGACCAAAGTCCCACAAGTCACGCTCCAAATAACCAAGTAGGACGACATTTTCTATCTCCATATACACCTAGTAGGGTGGCAGTGGGGGCTTCTTTCTGCAGGTGCAGCAAACCCCGCTTTTATACCTGAGGTTAGGAAACTCAGCTGAAGATCAAGATATAGGATGATTCTTAGACACGTGACAGTGCAGGAGAAAGAAAATAATGCAAGGGCTCCTTTTCTGGTGGCTGTGCTGTGATGGAACCCACAGCCTCTGGGGAGAATGACCTGGGATGAAGCCACCTCTCTACCACCGACCTTTCTGCACCTTCACGTCCTCATCCTCAAGCATGAGGGTTAAGGATGGCCACCCCACCCATGGACTTCAGAAATGCCCAGAGTTACACAGTCTGCAGGCCTCTGAGCACGGACACGTGATACAACCCCGATGTCCACAGGGTCCTGGCATCTGCCTACTCTGGGGAGCGTCCTGGCCTTGTGGTCACCACACACAGGGCCGAGACCAGGAAGACAAAATAACACTTACAAATATGCCTGACACATTCTCCACATGCTCAAGGTCACCCAGGAAAACACCACAAGGCTCTTGATCAGAGCAGAAAACCACTCTCCACCATTAATCGTCAAAAATGATCACCAAAACCTGTCCTGAAAATGCATATCTAAATGGTGAATGCTTTAAAGGAAGGCACTTTTTGGTTAAAGAGATAAAAAGAAATGTTAAAGAGTTATTAAAGAAAACCACTTTTGATCCCCTTTTCCCTCTTCTACCACTACCCCTCCCCTGTTACCCTCTGTAAAATATATGGTGATGGAAGGAGAACTGACCCTGGTGGTGAATACACAATGCGATAGAGAGATGATGTATTACAGAACTGTACACTTGAAACCTATATAACTTTACTAACCGATGTCACCCCAATAAATTTAATTAAAACAATACTTTACCTGATAATGAAACTACACACTTTTGTTTTGTTCCTGAACAATAAAGTGCTCCAATTCTGATTTGCTAGGGAGTTTCTGGTTGACTGAAATTTTTTTCAAATTCAACTTCAGAAAAGCTTTCTTGTTCACTTTTTCAAGATTCGAACAACCCACACTTTTGTACACTATTTAAGAGTACACCCTAAATTAACTGTGTTTTCCATGATGATTTGAAACAAATATATAAGCTGGTAACCAACATGTGAAATTACAGGAGAGCGGTGCCGCCACTGGCCACAGTTCCACATCCTCTGAGGGCGCCCCTCTCCACGTCTCTAAAACAAGTTGGGTTCCTGCAGTGACTTCCACATTTTGTTTTAGTATTTTATCCTGATTTGTTTATTAGGATGTTGGGAAGTTTTTAAAATACCAAAGTACCACCACTTATGACAAGAGAGACACCTCTCATAAAATAAATATAATTGTAACAAAATTGAAAATCATTGGGTGCATCAAATGCTATGTGGCTGAGTTTTAATCTCACACTTACTGGAGGAAGAGGGGTCAGGGTTGCATTTGATAGTGTGGGGATCAAAATGCTGGGAATAATCAGAGGTGTAGTCTACAAAGTCACTTGCAATTAAAGATTGTATAATATTTTTCGTTCTTTAGAGGAGAATGGTGGAACTTCTCCCATTACACATAAATTTATTATTTTGACATTGATACATTAGATTTTCATGAACATGAGTAACATTAAAAAAAGTTAATACTTGCTGAGTGCTTTTTGGGGAATAACAGCAATTCGTGTTTTCCATATATTATCTCATCCAGTAAACAGGCAGTGGGCGCTAATGTCCCCAATTGATTGATGAGGAAACTGCACCGCAGTTGAGATTAGTACCAGTTCGTAAGTTGAATGCATTTACTTTGGTACTGCTCAGCATTTAGATTTTACAGAGCCAGAGAAAAGTTTGAGAAAAATATAGGCCAATCAATATTAGCTGCTACCCAGCAGGGTCCTGCCATCTGTGGAGAATGTGCCAAATATAAGAGAGCAAATCATGACATTTATTTCAGACTCATTTCTAGTGTTGGTGTATGAGTGTATTCCAAAAATAAATACACGAAAAGGAAATCAAATAACAAAAATTAGTTTCTCTGTATCTAATTGGAACAACCCTCAAAGCTATGTTTGTGACGCTGACCAGGGAGAAAGTCCCCATGGCTCAAGAGTCATCAGTCTTGCTTGAACTGTGCTCCCAGGGTCCCCTTGAAGCCTCCTTCTGTCAATCACACATCCCCCTTAGGCACACATTGGGAGTATGAAATAGGGCACCACTGATTTCAAAAGGTCTTACAGTTAAGAAACAATGCCACTTATTTTTAGGGTTCTTTTAAAGAAACGCGTAGCTATTAGCAAATAGTCCCAATCAAATAAAATCTGCTATGTGTCAGGCATTATGCAAAGCACCTTGCATATATGCTAACTCTTAATCCTTATAAAACTCCAACAAAGGAGATTTTATTATTATCCCCCTTTGACAGAGAAGGAAACTGAGGCACTGAGCATCTCGGCTCAGTTTTAGGACTGTACGTGCAGAGCCAGAATTTGAACTCAGAGTACAAACTTTTCACCAGGATTTTAATGTCCAGTTATTGATCAACCTGACACTGTGGGGAGTTCCACAAAGATGTCCCACGCAGGTCCCCAGTTGTCGTGTTTCTCCCCAGTCAACATTATTCAGGCAAAGCGGGCCTGTGATCAGTCCTTTTTAATAAAAGCTATAATTTTTCCATCCCTCCCAGACATAACAGACCAGAGTCTCTCTCACGTTCAACAACCCATTCCTATTGTCTCTGACAAACAGGCTCCGACTAAACAAAAGCCAATTAGGAAACTGCCTTTGATTTTCTGGGACTTGCCCTAAATGATGAAGTACCACCTCATTTTAGGTTTTAAAAAGATATTTTGTAGTCTGGGTAAATGCTGTTTCTCTCTGTCTCTGTCTCTCTCTCTCTCT